AAGTAAATATGCATTACTAAATGTTGTTTAAGTAAAAAAATGCAAAACCACAAAATCCCAAAAATGTATAAGAAAATTTAAATTTTGTATAGAAACGGAAAATTTTTAATGAAAAATGTTTAAATAACGGCATGTATAAAACGCCAGCAAAGGTTTACACACACATGAAAAAAAAAACATATTAAAAAAGTAGTAGCAACAAAAAAACAATTATAATGCAACCCTGACACATTACCAAATGTAAGTTATAAGCAAATAAAAAAAATATTACACAAAAAAATTAAATATAAAAATTAAAAATTATAGATACTAGAATTTGAGAAAAATTAATTAAGACGAAAATTGTATTTACGCAAGAGAATGGTATAATTATAATGATATTAAATTGTATTAATATAAATATTATGATGACATTTATTATTATTATTATTGCAGTGAGAAAAAATGATGGAATAAATAAAGATTTAATAAAAAAGAGATTTAGGCAAATTTTTTACTGAAGTGAAGTGACGGAAATGTAAATTGAGGCTATAAAACTCGAGATCAGATTTACATGCAAAAAAACAAACTATTTAAAATTTTTTTTTGTTTTTGTCATATGTTTATTGTAATACATAAATCAATTTTATTTAAAGTTTACTAATTTGTGGGGGAATACTCTGTAAAGGAACGAAAATATTTATTTGTTAAATTTTTACGCTGTATTATTTTTTTTTTATATTTTAAAAATAATTTTTAAGCTGACATTTGTTAAATTATTGTTTTCGCGTATTAATTTTTCCGGCACACATTGCTTGTAATCAAAAAATAATTCCATAATTCATTATCTACGTTCCCTTCCTCGCAACCTTATTCTGCTCACTCTTACACGCCACTACTTCCGGTATTCGATACTTACATTAAACAGCCAACACAAGCGCTTTGCAGTAATTAGGCAATTCCAAAATTGTCATTTCCACAGCCAACGCCAAAAAAATTTGTCATCTAATCAGAAGTAGCAGCAATTTTTCTTCTTTTTTTTGGTAAAAAAATCAAAATCCGCAAAAAATCCCAAAATTAGCCATTTAACTCTTGCATCACAACCATTGCACCGTTTCCGGCGCTCAGCATTTATTTTGCCCGCCACTCGCCGCTACCCCCAATTTTGCCCACATTTGCTTTTGGCCGCCCAGCAACTGTCAACGACACTGAAGTGTGTCATTTCAGCTGAGGCGAGCAAAAATGCGCTCATGTACTGTCTTCGCTAATAACAATAACAAAAAAAAACTAGTTTTGCGCTGTAAAACAATAACAATTTTGTAATGATAATTAATTAATCAGTGCAGCTTATTCCGGTATTCCGGTAATTTATGCCTACTCGTTTATTCTGAGGAATTCCGCTGCCATCGTTATGGTGTGAAAATGACTAATGCACACGAGTTTTCAAAAAAAAAAAAAAACACAAAATATAAAATATAAATCGTAAGTCAATAACTTTTTAATCAGAACAGTATAACATTTCGCATGGGCATAAATTTGAATAAATTTGTTTGCTTTTCAAACCTAAAACAACCGACGCAGTGCAATCACCCTTAACCTTATATGTATATATTTTTTTGTTGCTTTGTTTTTTCTTTTTCTTTTTGAACTTTCTATTTCGTCAAATGCCGAATATGTGTTCCTCACAAAAAACAAGCAATATGTGAAAGGTTAACAAAGTTCATGAAAGTTTAAAGAAGCTTTCAAACTCTTTATTGGGTAATAGGTTAGGTCATGAAGCTAAAGAGATCAAAGCACTAGAATCAGCTGTTGTTGTTATTGTTGTTGTAGCAGCAGTGCTCAAGCCCACAGGTTCTGTCATGAGTCATCTTGTTCATCCTCTGACTCTGAATCAGGCGACGTCGGTAGGCGCAGTCCAGAGCGCTTCTGGTGTCAGGGTCGTAGAGTTTAAGGTACATGTGATTAGATGTTAGGTGTAGTGATGACCTTTCCCTCACTTCTGTGTCCAGCCGAGATAGGTAGGTGTTAAGTCGGTGGCCCGACCCAGAACGGAATCGTGCTAGGGTGCATCTGGTCTCTCTGGGCAGTTCCGCTTCCTCTATATTTATGGGCAGCGGTCAACCGCCTAGGACAATATTGGCCTTACGCGTTCTGAGGCTCGTTCTGAACGCAACGCTGTGTAGGCTGTTGAGCGCCGCTCTGTATCTTGGTGTGTCGAGCGGATGGTCTACGAACGGCTCGCACTAGAATCAGTCATGCTCTTTGGTTGAATATATCCTTTAGAATGTGTTTATACTGTGGCCAGGGAAACACCAAAAAAGCGATTTTAATCACAAAAAAATTTTTTTCTCATTATCATCTCTTGTTTTGTAAATCATTTAGGAATACTAATTTGGACAATCTTTTTCCTTACAATCTGTTTGAGATTGATTAATTATTGGATTTCTCCTTCTTCTTATTTGGTCGAGTTCGTTGTCCATTCGAACGACATGGCCAAGCTAGTGGAGCCACTGTATTTTAATTCGCTGCATTATTTCCATGTCGTTGTGTCGCCCTCAGCAATGCGTAAATACCGGTAAATCTTCCGTAAGATCTTTCTCTCGAATACTCCAAGAGCCGCCTCATCGGATGTTGCCATTGTCCTCACCTCCGCGCCTTATACCGGCATAGGCATGATGAGTGACTTATAGACGTGATTTTTGTACGACGAGAGAGGACTTTACTCCTGAATTGCCTATCCAGACCAAAGTACCACTTGTGGGCAAGAGTGATTCTCCGTTGGATTTCGATGCTGACAGTATTATCGGTGTTAATGCTGGTTCCCAAGAAAACGGGATTCTTCACTTTCTCGAAATTATAACTGTCAACAGTGACGTGGGTGCCAAGGCGCGAATGCGCTGCCTGTTTGTTTGCATGTGAAGATGCTGAGAAAAGAACACGAAAACTTAACAGCCCTGGCGCAGGGCAGAATAAAGGCAACTATATTTCGAGAAAAGAAAACGCTATAAGTTAGAAACGAATACGCTCCTTTATAGGGCAGGGGACATTTTATAGTGCCTAGCTTCTAAGGAGGTTGCAAATATTTTTTGTTGTTCTGATTACTGCCTTTATTCTCAGCGTAGTCATAGGAAACAGTGCTCTGTAGATTTAAAAGAGTATCGAATATTAGATTTCATCCTTACATAGTCCGATTAAGTCTACCAGTAATGGTTCACTTTCTAAGTATAGTTGTGAGCAGACCAAACCCATGGTGCTCAAAAGCTCATACAGTGAAGCGAATGCTCTAGATGGGTGCTGAATGCATCATTTTGGTACAGTTATGAAGTGTAGAATCCTTCCTTTTTCCTTGCCGATGCTAATACTGTTTAACACTGAGCTGGAACAAAGCCTAACTTAGCCACACTTGTATCTTAAAGCATCATCATCTCAACTTTTTTACAAAAATCGTTCCGCACAAACTGGTGTGTAACGAAATTGTAAACTTTATAGTATAAGAGCTGTGGGACAACAAACTTACGGCAACGATCAATAAGCAGTGGAAAGCTAAAATTAGCGGCAATCCCTACAAATGGTTTTTCCGAGTTATACAACAGAACAGGTCTCTCTTTGAGCTCCCTGATGAAATAAAAAAATTGGAACTTAGACGGCATTAAGAAAGACGTAACACCTTGCTGGAGCTCTTGAAAAGTGAAACGAAAAAAGCTTTAGTTTCAAGCGCTAAATTGGTTTATCTCGTGGTATCCGTATTCCATAGATTCTCACCCCTATTTCGAGTGCCGATTATTAGTAGATAAACGACTGTTAGCCTATTATCGATTATCTGTGGTATTTTCAAAGTCGTTTTCTTGTTCAATAAGTTAGTGTGAATATTTTATAGTCGCTTATTGAACGAGAAATCGACATTCACAATACCATGGAAAATCAAGAATCGACTAATAGCCGTTTATCTACTATTAGTCGACACTCGCAATAGGGGTGTCTGCTTCGTACTAGTTCGTATTACTTTTTTGCTCGTCTCAAACCCGATTAATACATTTTTTTCGGACAGTGGTTGAAAGAGACTAATTGGCCGATTGAAGAGAAATCAAATGGAGTTTATAGAGCCCGGTGGGATTTTCATAAAATTTTTTCACCCATCTCATTTAAGTGCTTCTTATGTAAGTATACGATATAAATGTATGCAAGTCGGTTATGTATTCGAATTCTAAAAACTCGAAGGCATCATTATTGCAATCCGCGAAAATACACTTACTTCAACTGAGTATCGCCCTAAGGCTCTGTTGATTGTCTATGAGCCTTTAATATTCATTTGCTCAGTAGTGGGAAGACGCTAATTGGCAATATTAATACGTTTACTCCCATGTCGAATAATTTATTTTGTTTCATCCAAGTGTTCATGTATTGCAAAAAGTACGCAGATAAGCTAAACGAGGCTATGAAAAACCTATTGGCATATTTTTTCTTTCGAATTTAGCTGACCTTCAAGTTCACATAATTAACAAATGGCAAATCTGGGGCATAGATTAAAAATAAAAAAGCTTGCGATAAGCTAGATTTCACCAAAAAATCATTTGCAAGAACATTTGCTTTATCCGCCTCATTCTCCCTGTCCCACCAAGCCACAAACGAAAGTGAATTCATTGTCAATGACCGATTGCCGGCAAAAACAATCAAAGAAAAGTCAACAGCATCCAAAGCGTCGTCAATCGTTTGATCGTAAATATTCAAAATACCGTAAAAAAAGAAAGCAGAGAGTAAATTAAATGCGCGCATCGAAGCTTACAGCCGAATAACATCGAAGATGATTAACTCGACAGCGTAAAATTCAATCAGTAAAGATTGAGACTAAGCAAATTTACTAGCTCGACAGTGTAGCGGGGGTGGAGTATGGAGGGTTGGGAAGATTGCTGGAAGAATCAGAACAGCAACAACAACAAGAATGAAGTTTAAGAACAACCGGATGATTACCGGCGCTTCCGATGTGTACTGTGGCTTTGTATAAAAAGTGCTGAACGCAGCTGGATTCAGCATCAGTCGAACACTTCTCGTTGTGCGCTCGCAGTCGCTTTGAAAGCTAAACAATTAAATAAGAATTTTAAACTTTTCTAAGTTCGTTAAAAACAAAAGTAACCGAAAATGAAGTTCTACGTGTGCGTTGTTGCTGTTTTCGCTATTGTTTTCGCCAGTATGTGCTTTGTGAGTGAAGCGGCGGTGGCACGCGCCCAATACAAAAACTCAGGTGAGTGAAGTGAAGTGGGCAGAAGGGATTTAATAAAAAGGTATATACATATGTATGTACGTACATATGTAGATACAGACATATATCTATTAGATAATATAAATTATTGTTTTTGTTTAATTTATGGTTTTCGCTTATAACTAAGTCTATAAACAATTTTATTTAAAAAAATATTTCGAAATTTTTAATTTGATTTTTAAATCATTATAACCATACTTTAATAAAAACGTGATTGCGATTTAATTACAAAATTTTTAGAACCGATTTTTGTTTGGAAAAAATATTTGAAAATTTGGAATTAATTTTGATTTTCCAAATATTTAAAAATATGAAATGAGTATTTTTTTGTTTAGTTATAATGATTTTTTTGCGACGAAACTTTCGTATGTGAAATCTGCCAAATTCAAATTTTTTAATTAAAACTTTTTTGTGTAAAAAAAAATATTATTAAATTATTAAGCCCTTTTTTGAGTTTGCAACTCTCGATTTTTTGATATTTTCTTAAGCCAAGTTTTGATATAAAAAACTGTTCGTTCTGAAAACACCCATAATTTTATAAAAATGTGGCAATGAATTTTATATTCTCCTTTATTTCGCCTTTCCAGCTTACCCTGGCAAATGCTATATCAGTGAGGACTTGATTTTGTCTTCTGGCCAAACCGCTAAGGCACCCACTAATCCCTGTGCCAGCATCAAGTGTCTGGGCGATGGAAATGTTGAGTTCACAACGTGAGTATCATTTTATGGAAGAGCAATAAATATATTCTACTTAAGTCAAAATACCATCATTAAATTCCGAAAATATTCCATTTCATGCCAACAGTTGTCCTGCTGTGGCGCCACCTAAAGGCTGCAAGCAACGCGACTTCGTCAACGCTAAGCGCGCCTATCCCGACTGCTGTGAGCGTGCCTACGACTGTACGCGTAGCTTTTAAGTGAAGTGAATACAAGAGAAGCGGAAGATAGAAAGGGAAAAGCAGGAGAGAAATCACTTAACAGAAATACCCAATGGAAACCACAAGCAGCTTCACTACGAACATCAACTAGCATTAAATCCATTATAGCCAATAAAAAATCACTATCATTCGACAGCGAGACACCGTCATCACCATCGCCATCGCCACCATCATCAACACCATCTCAACAGCAATACATCGGCGTCATTTTAATCATCAGCAATCACCTAGTGCCATCTCGTAGTCATTTGCTTCCTCATTGCCGTTGCCGAGGTGTGTGAGTCAGGTCACAAACACGCCTTGCCTTATACGGCACCAACACGCACATACCATATCATTGCGCATGCGCACGCACGCCCATACTCGCATACTCGCAAACCAATATTTAAACCATTTAAGCCCATTAAGCTCATCTTAAAGTACAATGTTTTTGGCCGGCTGCTAGCTGTAACTGAGATGTCTAGCTTGGCGCAGCCGGATAGCAAACCAGCATATCCCTGCCATTATTCGCTGGGAACTTCCGCGACGGCATTTAACAGCGTCACCGTCACCGGCAATCATTTTAGTAACATAAGTTGGTTTTGGTTTTTCGTTTTTTTTTTTATTTTTAACCATCTGCACTATTTATTACTTTAGCACTCATATTTAACTTTTTGTTTGTTTTTGTTTTTTTTTACTTATTATTTATTATGTCGTTCATTTAATACTTTTGTTCATAATTTATTAGTTTATATTTTATGCATTTTTAAATTGTTGAAATTTTATTTTCTTTCACTTCATTCACTTATGGAATTTTTGTCATTACACATTCTCCGCACCAATAAGGATTATAAAATAAAGTTAAGCTTTAAATATAAAAAACAAAGAATTTTTAATGGGGTGTGGTCGATGGCTTAATGTTCCAGACGGGCAAGTCAAGAAGCTGAAATATAATTGGTGGCAATTTATGTACGTCTGTAGTTATATACATATACATACACACATATCAACGTGCTAAAATACCCTATTTGTAAATTTTTTTTTCTAATTGATACTCGTACTTTGCTACATTGAATTTTACTCAGCATGTAAAGGCGCGCCACTTATTCTTTCATTCACTCGCAATTGGACGCTGACTAGTAACAACAAGTGCGAATGGCGTGCAGGAAAGAATGTGGGGTCTTAAGTGGCCCTTGTAAGTTCCTCCTTTCCAATTACGACCCTAACACCCTAAGCCTGAAAGCAACTGACAGGACGGCTATTTACACCACAGCCAGTCCTAGGCATCGGAATGACTCGGGTGTTGCCGACCAAGGACTTTTGTTTCGGCAATCTAACGCTGTTCTCGATTCCAATCTCAGAGAAAAAAACCTACATAATTTTGCTGTGGCCTAAGCTTACGAAATATTTGTCATCTCATGTTGCCACGATAAACGACAATCACAGCATTCGTGCGGACTCGCAATCTGCGCAATAAGCCTATGCCTTCCAGCACCCACAGCTTTTCAGAGAGCTCACCTGAGCTAAAGCTTTAGTGGCCGAATGGCTACCATCATCTGCAGTTGTCAACCACGACACCGTCAACCACCCCAAGCACGCAAAAACATCAAACGCGGCAAGCACAACAAGCATCCGGTAGGCAGCAACAAGGAACTGATCGAGGAAATAACCGTCTCAATGGGTCGGCATGCCTGCGATCCAGGAAACTACACAGTTAATAGTGGTAGCTCATCGTTCCATCATTCCTCGTACCGTGCAGTATCCTGTCATCGAAGCCAACGTCAACCGCAGGTACACCAGCCTAGAATGTCAGAGTATTGCTTTCCAGTCAGGCGATGTTAGCTCGAAATGCTTTTCTTCCGCGGAACACCGCACCTACATCCACTTCAACACACAGCTGATTGGGACGACTTCGTGTAAATTACCAAGAGCACCTTCGCGGCTCTTCCCGCACCAAGACAACTGAATTAGCTCCTCGCTTCATCCCTGCTCGACAGTAAGCAGAAACCCGGCGTAATTTCCCAGCGAACGAGCGTAACCACCTTCGCCAGATCGACTGCGGAGATCCCCGTATCAGGGATTTTATGATTAGATTCTACAACTGGCTAACCAGCATAAGTGGAAAAAGTGAACTTCAGACGGAATATGCCAATGCTGAAAAAATGGGTCCGGGAGAGTAGACTCCCTCACCAAAGTTCTTAAACGGTCGATGACCCGACTTGTGGAAATTGGAGAACACTATGTAGTTCCACTACTGAAGTCGGTAAACCTGCCAACACAGGGCTATAACCCGATAACACATCTTTCCCGGGTAGAGCAGACAATTGAAGCCATGCTACTCCTGTACTTCACGTGCACTGAACGCCATAAACATCCAGATAATTTGTGGCCTAAATCGTTACCGCCCCTATGAGAGAACAGTCCTAGTAACGTTGAATCTGTCTAAGGCTTTCTACACAGTCTGTCATTCCACGCAATCAAATGGTATAAACGTCTCCCCTCTTCCACAGGGTATCAACCGGAAGTCAGCGATAACGTCAGATATAAAACATCAAAGTGAAGGAAAATTAAACAGGGACTACCACAGGCTGGTACTGTCTTCCCGCTTCTGCTCAATTTCTACATTTCGAAACTTCCTCAAAAATCAGAGGGAGTCGCCATCTTCTCGTATGCTGACGATCGACCTATATTGGCGTCCGAGAATGGAATTGATAACCTGTGTAACTGCTTCTCTGAAAGGATCCTAACCCTCATCATTTCATCACCTGGACTAAAGAGGTTAGGTTACGCCTGAGTAAACGGAATTTTCGGAGCTTCCCGGATTGGTGAACTATGCCCTTCCGAGCCCTGCTCCCACTACAGCGTTTATGATCAAGGTAGTTTTCGAATATATAATTTGATCTTTGCGCGCGACTTTGCAAATATATGTAATTTTTGATTTTCTTAATTTTTTTGATTTTCAGCTTCTTTTTACATAATTTAGCGAAAAGAATTTTTCAAACAATGAAAAAATCCCACCAGATATTGGGAAAAAGCGAGTATTGACACCTAAGTCATTTTATTGTATAACCTTTGTTTTCTGAGAGTGGAAAGCAGGAAACCAAAACTACCCAAAATTCCATCATATTTAATGACTGGGCCCACATTTTTTGTGAGTTTTGAACGTTATAGTAATCCAATCTTCCCCATATTTTATATTTAGGTTTTTCTAATAGAATAAAGACTACAAACTAAATTTCATTGAAATCGGATGAGATTTAATGTTTTCGCCCACAAGAGTAGAGGGCGTGGCAATTATTCCATCTTTACAAAATTTCATAATTCTCTATTTCTAAGTAAAACTAGAGCACATGTCAAGTTTCAGTGAAATCGGTGCAGGTCAAGAATGATAGAATACAAGATTGCGCGAACAGACAGGATTTTTGAGAATAACTTTTATGTGACGTCACACTGGTGCAATTTCGAGAGAGAAATGCCAAAACGTGAGCAAGAATGGAAGAAGAAGAAAAAATGTTGCAAGGAAAACGTAAACAAGTTGCACAAGTGTGACGTCATGCAAACAACGATTTTGTCAAATTCGTTAAGAGAGGATTAGCGGTCCGAGATCGGTGCAACCTTTGTATTCTCTCAATCGTGGGTGCAGGTGTACTATTATTTCCATCTGCCTCCATATAGTCGAAACACTGTGCGTCGGCGGCATACCAATTCTAACTGTGAATAACCCAAAAGGCCCCGGGGTAACCATCGACAGCCTACTCTCTTTACCGGCGTACACAACCGCAATTGCGTATAAACTGCAGAGCCGCAACAAAGTCCTCAAATCGCTCGCCGCGCATTGGTCGGAGAAACCACGTTTTATGCGAAAATTCAAAAGGACTTTTGCGATTTTAATAAAAGTTTAGGATCTTAGTTCCACAGTTGGCAGCTGTCAAATCAATTTTCAAATTTCTTTAAAAAAGTAAAATACTTTTGAAAATTCCACTGATTAGGCTTTTGGGCGCGCTAGTCACGAATTGTATGTCAAATTAAAATTTTGACATTGACAGCAGCCAAACGAACTGTACATTTTTTTAAAAATTAAAAAATCTTTTTCAAATGCCACTGATCAAGGCACATTAAACAGGTAGTATCAGTAGAGCAAAAACAACATTTGCGTGTATTTTGTTGTTGCTTCTGGTATCGAAAGTGTCAAAAACTGTTCTGAATTTTTTCTTCTAAATCAAAGCGTGCCATGTGAAATACAAAAAATTATAAAAAATAAAAAATTGAAATTGGAAAAAATAAAAATTGATGCAACTTTCTTTCCTAGTAAATTTGTTTGCTTCTCGAAGCATTGATCCATCCTTTGCAAGGCCCAGTAATCAGCGGTCGTGCTGCCGAGTTGGGCGAACGTTCCAAAAGCTGCTATTCAATCGCTTGTTTTGTATGGAAAAAGGTTTCACATGCAAATGGATTTTAACAATTCAGAATTTTTGTGAGAAAAAATTAAAAATATTTGACATTTTCGAGACCAAATAATTTGAAAATAAATCAAATCAGCTGCTGTACTGATACTACCTGTTCAATGTACCTTGCCACTGATTATTGTTTAAGACACGCTAGCCACAAATTTTATGCCGAATTAAAAGTTTGACAGGTGACAGTTGTCAATTGGACTGTCAGTTTATCTTAAAGTTTAAGAAAGCCTTTTTAAAATGTCACTTCTTAAGCTTTGCCATGCTAACCACGGATATAATTTTAAACTCAAATTTTGACAGCTTCCAATTTCTCTACTACATTTTTCCAAAAATGAAACCTTCGAGGCTTTAAGATTCACTGGTCTTTATGGTAATATATAAGTCCAGATCCTTTTCAAGCTTTTTTAGTTGATAATTGTCATTTTCTTTAAAAGTAAAAAAAATCCTAAATATTGCCCTTTTTAGTTGCTTTCTTGCAGTTGGGTGACACGATTTTTTTGCTTATCAAATTAAATGATTAATTTCAACGACGGGAACATATTTAAAAATAATTTAGTATATATAATTATACAGGGTGGTTCACAGGCGTTTGAACATACAGTCAGTCAATAAAGTTTAGGTACAGCGAATTTTTTACAATACGGGCATCTATTTTTTAAATATTTTATTTTTCGCAATTTTTTTTTTTTAAATATGGTTAATTCTACAACGAAAACCCCAAAAAGCAAAGTTCCAAACCTTGTGCAAAATTAAAGAAAATTCTGCAAAATTTCATTCAAATATTGCACTTTTTATTTACGCTCTCTAGAAAAAATTGGAGTATGCGGTTTTTTAGCCCATTCAATTTTAGTATAATAAAGTGCAAGTATGAGGAAGCTAGGACTTACCATTCATTTTTGGGAAATTTTTTTGTTGAAGGTGTCGCACATTTTTTCCATATAAAAAAATTATCAAACATTATTTTATATGGAGAAAATGAGAGACACCTTCAATAAAAAAAAATCCTAAAAATCAATGGTAAGTCCTAGCCACCACAAACTTGCACTTTGCTATACTAAAATTGAATGGGCTAAAAAACTGCATACTCAACTTCTTTCTAAAGAGCGTAAATAAAAAGAACGTAGAACTGACCATATTTTTATAAAAAATTATCGAAAAATAAAATATTTAAAAAATAGTTGCCCGTATTGTAAAAAATTCGCTGTACCTAAACTTTATTGACTGACTGTACGTAAATGGGAAAAATTGTTGAAGCTGTCTGCTATAGCTCAACTGAAAAAAAATATTATATACAAATATACATACATACATATTAATTTTCTTTAATGTTATATGAAATTCGCTATTTCCATTGATCAAACCTCAATAACTTTATTTAAAAATGAGAAAACTGCCATAATGAGGACACAATGGATTTTCCATTTTGAATTTTCAAAACCTCGTTTAAAGTTTGTAATGAACGAACTTAAGAACCTCTAAATACCTGTCCAGACTCAACTCGAATATGTGAAGAGATGGTTGGCGTTGTGCGGGTAGCTCAATCCTACTCTACTTACACCCCTCTCCCATTGGTCCGCCCCCGAGCCTACCGTGAGTTGAGCTTGGCGACAACGATATAAGCAGGGCTTAGTAATGCCTCTACAACAAAACAATAAAAACAACCTCTAAATACCAAAATTAATGAAAATTTAGCAATTTGTTTTTGATTCTTGGACTCATATTGAATTCGCTGTTTCCAATTTTCGATATTTGACTTCAAATTTGTTTTGTTATAAATTATATCAATCTTTTAATGCAGTTTATTAGGAAATAATAAATTAGTGAAATAAAAATGGCTACCACTCTTTTTGGTGCCAGTATGGGCGCCGCTTTTTTTTAGTAGTACATTAAAGAACCCATTGTATTCCATTTCGGTAAAGGAGTGAAGGTTTTGCGCGGTCCTACTCATTAGTTCTAGCTTGTAAAAAAAAAAATATTGAAAATAAATAACCCCGTTATTAAGTTATAGAAAGTTTAACCACGAATTTTTATTACTTGCGTAATATTCCATACGAAAATATTTTCCATGTGTAAGAAGTAATACCAAACTGGCAACTACTGTTATAATTAAAAGTTTCCATACAAAATTTTTAAGAAACCTCTCGACACATAACGGTTAGAACATATAACATATAATCAGTCTTCAGTTGGACTTTTCTGAATATTTCGCCTAATTTATCACAATTTTCAAATAAACCTTTTTCCCGTAAAACATGGGCTCTCCGACCACTGTGTGCATGCAGCATTCTGGCAATATTCTTTAAAGTACTTTGTTTATCTGTTCTGCTATTAGGTATATATAAGTAAATCAAGTAGTAGTAGAAGTATGAGCTCCCTATCGAAATAACACTATTTTCCTATAAGATGATTTAAAATAAAAAATTTACCTTATTAACTCTTTTACACCATTGAGGTTTGCAAAACTATGCGGCTGCTTATTGAAAACTGCAACTGTTGAACTTTTTTCCGTAGATTTACACGATTATTTAGATTTAATGGAATTCTTGAAACATATTTGAAATCTCTATAAATGCAAATATTAATCAGTATCAAAAAAAGACAGTAGTTCGTTATGAATTATAATTTACGCTGACATATTTATAAACAGGCGTACATTTTTCATATCAGCAATACTCCCGCATTCATCTATAAAGCTTTGACCAGCGCATAAAATATGTTTCTGATATTTATGTAATACTCTTCAGTCTAATAGATGTTTTGTATTTATTTAAATAATTCTGTAGGAAATTGGGTCGGGAATTCCACTTTGAAGGTGCTACGTTGAGCTGCCTCTTCTTCAGCGGCAATCGCGGCGTTAATAAAATCTCTGTAGAGGTAAAAGTTGAAAATATATATGTTTTTAAATTAGTGTAAACCTAAAACTCACTCTTCTTCGGCTAGCGTAATATTAACACGCCCTGTGGAGATTTGTGTGGGACGTATGGAACCAAAGAAATCTGTTATCGGCACTTTATTTGGATCACGCCTATAGAGATCTTTACGTACACCAACGGTGGAAATGCAGACGCGTTTGGGACAAACTTGTAGCTAAATGGTAAAAGAAGTGTATTATAAAAATTATGTTTTTTCAAATTTTTATCACTTAAGGACTTACAAATTCGCCCATTGTCTTTTTGCTGTTAGGTTGAACTCTTTCTAAAAACTCTAGCGCATAGTAGGTATAACGATCAATCATATATACGCCAATCGACTGGTCAACATGGTGCTGGAAGGTAATGAGATATTGAAAACGCATTGCTTGCAGGAAAAATGTTGAAAAATAGAACATCTCTTTGCTAAATTGCAGTCGATATGGTGAAATTTTATTTTTTTGTGTTTCGCAACTCACCGACAACGAATCTTCGCCCACCAAACTGCTTGCCACTGCCAGCACATTAGGTGAGGTAAACTTTTCATACAAAGAAGCCGCCTGGCAGGTATCTACCATGAAAAATAGCTCATTGTAACTGAAATAAGGAAGAGCAGAAGTATTTATTAATGCGAAAAGATTGCGGCACTCTAAAATGACCATCTCTCTACCCACCGCTTCTTCTCCCACATCTGCTCGACAGCATCAGCCAACTCTTGACTTGTAATCTCTTCGGAATCTTGAAATTTAAGGAAACCATCGCCCCCATGACCAGTCAGATAAATGAGCACATTACTGCCAGCATCGGTTAGCAATTTTTTCGAACGAGCTGTACCATTTTGTGTGCGACCTGTCAGCAGCCGCACGAAATTTTCCACGGTCACTTCATAGCCGCGATAATCTACTTCCACATCATCACCATAAACATTAATATGCTGCTTGGCATTATTATAAACCTGTCCGGGGCGAGGATTTCGCGGATTACAAGCCATATCATCAGCCAGCATGAGTATAATCTGTGAATCAGGTATGCCTAGCCGCTTCACTGAACGATAGATGCTCAACACATTGGCCACATGGCGATAGTTGAACCAAAACCGCGAGGCATCCACAAGCACAGCCCAGTTGTTGGTGTGCGTTGAACGTTGCACAGATTCTACATACTTCTCGGGTAGCTGGTTGTTGGTCTGCCGGTCGTAGAACGTTCGCAGGTTTATTAGTATGGAATTGTGATGCAGTGCATCGCGTTATACACTTACCTCCTGGCTAGCGATTTGTGTTAATAAACAACAAATAGAGCAAGCAAGTAGAAGTGCCTGTTTCAATTTAATCATTTTAAACACAACTATGCTGAAGAAATAAACAAACTTTAATTTTTTTGACAGCACAACCACAGCTGATTTTCGAACAGCTGTTTGTTTTTCGCCCGTCAACCGCAAGCAAATTGGAACTGAAACAAAAGCAACCCTGCACATTAACACAGAGTGAGATCGAGCACTGAGTGCAGAAAACGCAGGGTGTACTGATGACTAGTTTTAGTGTCATTCCGTTATTTCGAAAAATTTTATGATGCATTTCCGAACGTTGTTTTTTGCAGTTTGCTTTTAATAAGGATTTAAATTTTTAATTTTTCAAATTATTTCGAATTTCGAGTACGCAGTTTTATTTAATTTAAATTTCAGTATCATATAACAAAGCATCTGATCAACTTTTATTACAGCACATCAGATCACATCGCATCTCATCAAATTGCATCATATCAGCGAATTTGTAAGAAAGTCCCAAGAATATATGAAAAAAAATTTGTTTGCAAATTGTGATATGCCTAAATAACATATATTTAAAGATTTATGGCCGTAGGCTAACGATAACCCGTGCTGACTTTTAGTTCAAATTTTAGTTAATAACTTCTATTAAGGCTACCAAATCGTCCATGAAAACTTTGGAAATGCGAAAAATTCGATACGGTTCCTATATTTGAACGCATTTCTAGTAAATCTGCATCTTTAAATTTTGAGTAGGACAGTAAGTAAAGTGAAGTGGTATTGTAAGGGTGCAAAACGATATACTTTTAGAATAATTTCTGTATGTCCTGAAAATTTGTAGAGCATTTTTTAATTGGTCTGACAAGGCGCATGATAAACATTAAATGATTAAACTCAACTTTTATAACAAATTCTTTTCCTTCTTTTAACAAAAAATTCCTTTCATAATATTAAATAAACAAACTTAAGTGTTTTAGTGTTTGACATGTCCTCTCGGGTTAATTAAGGAACAAATACGGTAGTATTAATATAAAAATTTTAAAAATGTCCTTTGAAAACTTTATCCTTTAATATCCTTATATATAGAATTTATAGGATTTAAATTAAACTGATATTCTTTAAAATGCATTCAAAATTAAAAATCTTGATTGATAATATATTTAAGATATTTTTGACATATTCCAAAAGGAATATTGAAAAAAAATTATAATTATTCTTGTTTCGAATTCTTTCAACTGATTCCCATATATCCATATTTCGTGTAAGCTTTTGGAAATACTATATTATAATTTACGGTCCTTTATAAAAAACAACCTGACTGCCTGGTAAAAAAAACCAAAAACACAAATTTACTAAATATTATGTCCTAATACTGTAGGGATTATAGTAACACCATCTTATAAAGAAGTAAAATTAGTAAATTTACAAAACACGCGTACTGCACAATCACTTATTCACTTTACCCTCATCACTCATAATCACATCGAAATAAATCGTGCTTGCTGAGAATTCTAAAATGTATGAACTCTCATCACATCACATCACAACACATCTTATGAAAACATCGCGTAGTCACAATCAAATCCTTCATGTCAAATCAAAGTTATACTGCTCATTTGCTACTAGACTGTCGTAATCCAAAAAAATTAGAATATCTATCGAGAAAAACGGCGTTAAAGTTTAAAGTGGTCTTATAAATCATACGTATTTCAATTTATAATATCAAATGACATGTACGGATATCGCATCACATCACATTACTTCAAAATTCAATCACATCATATCACAAAACATCACATCAACTCTTATTACAGCACATCAGATCACATTACACCTCATCAAAATGCATCATATCAGCGAATTTGTCAGAAAGTTCTTACATAAGTTTTCTGATCATATTATCAAAAGTAATAATTGATTATTTATGTCACACCAAAAACAATAGGTATATTTATCATAGGAGTGTTCGCTATGCAACTGCCAGTAAGAATTAGCCAGTAACAAAATTCAGAGAATAAGGCACCTTACTCTCCCAAAGAGAGAAACTTACTAAGTATTGCGCGAACAGGAATTAGCAAACATTTGCAAGCTTCATTGCCAGCTGGCTTCCACGGTTGCATTTCGAGCATAATAATTTTTTAAAATTATTTCAGCTAGAAACCAAAACAGGACCTATGTATACGTATATTTCTTCTTATTCTGACCTTTCTTCAACATACGCTTCAATTTCTTTGTGGAAGTCACTGTCGGATTTCCTATACCGACAGTGGTGTCGAGTGCTTTCCGATTACGAATACAGCTTTTTCAGCCGAGTACCTTCAATATGTTTGGAATTAATTAAATTAATTGATTAAACGAGTATTTACCTACTTCTTTTATTAGTAAATCGCAACAAGATTGTTCATTTTTAAATTTAACGAACATGTTGATTCAAATTAATGTTGATAAAAATGCAACCGTGGGCCACAATCCTGCTTGCAAATTCTTAGGTCGGTGTTATGCAGACAAACTTTTGTTTGCCAAATTAAATGGCGGCTGCTTAGTTTGCTGGGAGGTGGTTATGTCGAGTTTGGCACAGGGTTGCACGTTCATTATAGTTTTCATGGCTATTGCCAACACGAAATGAGAATTTCAGATGTACATAACGCGCACAATTTAAAAATTTTGTATATGACAACACCGAATTTGGTGCAGTTTGACCAAACAAAATTAGTTTGCTGTGAGAGTCGCCAAACTCGCTCTCTCCGAGTTTGCTACAACAACAATTGCACGCAGTTTGCCAAACAAGATTTCTGCATAACACCAACCTTACTGGCAAAGATTTTCCCAGCACGAATTTGCAACTTCCCCTCCAAATGAAATGTCAAAATTGTGTTCTCTCCTTGTAAGTTTTACTGGGTTTTTGGCTAAAAGAACACGATTTGGTAACAATTGGTACCAACTTGTACAAATTTTGTGCATAGCGAACACTCCTCATATCACACGTAGCGCATGATATTTAATGACCACATGAAATTCAATGATCTCATCACATGTGGCAAACATCACATAACTTCATTTTGTATCATATGAACTCAAATCACGTCATTTATAATCGCATATTTAGCATATCTTACAAATCATTTCTAACTCATTGCGAGACATCACATCTAAAGTAAAAATTGAAAGCATATCATATAAAACTGCACCTATTAATTACTCACCACAGTGCTTTTCGCGTTCGCTTGGTAGGTAAATAGGTAAATAAAAATAATAAACATGAGCAACTTTTTTAACACATACATTTGTACCTCAGATATATTTACTTAAACTTAAGTTATTATGTTAGTTTAGTCAGTTTTAGTTTTAAACATTCATAGAAGGAAAAAAAATTTAAATTGTTTCCACTTTACTGCTTTTCCGCTCCTGCTGCACCATGAGTTGCAGAATGCTTCAGATTAGGGGAAAACATTTCCCAAATGTGTTGCTGATACCTCTGCGTCTCATTATTCAAACCACCAACACAGTTCAAATAGCGCGCACAACATTCCGGAAAGGCTGCTTGCTCATCAACATAATCGCCCCATTCGCAGCCATCTGGAGCACCAGTAGAGCCACAACTAAAAGTCAATTTTTAAAGAGAGATTATTATCAGATTCTATATACATATGTAAATACAAAAATATTTCATCAAACAAAAAACTGCATTAGCATACACTTCTTTAAATATTTCACGCCCCCTAAAAAATCTCCTCAACACTCACCCAGTGATCGTTACATCGCCTGCTTCATTGTGGCAGTCTATTTCCGCACAGCTATCTGGTGACTTCACCTTCTCACCGGGCGCAATGATCAGCGTTTCGGTGATGGTACATTTACCTGGATTCGCTGTGCATCAACAAAATATTCAATTAAACGTTAATTATCAAAGAAAACAGCATCTACGCTCACCGTCATTGTGATAGTTGCCTACTGCCTGCCATGACGCCACCTGCCCAACGCCAAGGCAGAGTAACGTTGCCAACAGCGGCAACACTAGCAAGCGCCAACACATTTAGGTGTGTATAGTGCGCCTCCACTGAGGCACAGAAAGTGACTAAACTTGGCCAAAAAACGAGTATGCCTTAAAAAGCCAAAAGCGGTTGCTCTCAGACGAATTTATTGAATTGATTTGCGGCAATAAATGAGCGTTAGTGGTTTTGTAGAGTTGCCAAGGCAATGAAAATAAGACCTCGGAAATGCCTCTTTTATAAATATATTAAATGGTTTTTACAAATTGGATTATATAGTCTATATTATTTATTTACGTGAGAATAAAAGCTCGCTCAAATCGTCCCTGCACTGCATAAACACAATTAAGTTTGTGGGACAGATATTTAATAATACTAAATAATACTTCTTAAAAATGCGCCCAAACTACTTCATCGCAAAAAAAACATAATAGCCATCAACAATAAGCTTTAAGCCCAAGTCCACTCCCACATTTTTCACGAACCGCACAAAGGAAATAAGCTTCGACCTCAACGCGGATGTCGATTGAATCAAAATGGCGACTGGGATCCATCCAAAGATAGTGGCTGTCAAGTGCGATGGGATTCCTTGCTTATCCGCGTACACTCCAGCGGTATTCAAAGGATCGAAAAAGGTTCTCGAATCCCTCACCGCCACACCGCGTAAGAGGAAAGCTCAGTCACCCAGAAGAATAAATAGGTCCACACCTTTACGATCCGCTAAGTGACGAGACGGCACTGTGATACTGTCATCCTTGGCCGGCCGCGATCCATTAACATGACCTAGCTTTAACCTCCACGCGTGACAGATCCACCTTAGCAAAAGTTAGATCCAGCTGGTGCAGGCGATTCAATTCTTAAGGAGCCAGGCTAGACGCTGATATAGCCGACACTTGTTCAGCATACGAGAATCGTCCGCAGTGCTTTCTGAGCTTACGGTTGGAGGAGTCAAGTATGTAAATAAGACACTCAACTATTTCGGTAGAAAAATGCTATAACAACAACAAACGCTACAAAAATTCTCCTCCCGCTGGTAAGATCCATTACTCTGACAGAAGACTTGATTATAGATCTTGGGTAAAATAATAATAATAATAGATTGGCGTTAACACATAGGTTAATGTTTGGCCGAGCTCTCCTCTAATACAGTTTTACCCCGACTCCGAATGGCGATTGTATTTTTATGAGAAGCTACTTCTAATGGCAGAGATACATAGAGCATGCTGGCCAAAATCCCTCATGACTTTCAATGAATTAATTGTTCTGTACCTTTATGAGAGAAAAGGAGCTAATGATCAATGAGAACAGGTATATGAACCAAAGCGTTTGTTTTGTCAATGTTGTTTTGGCTCAAACCGTGCCAATTTATCCCTATTTTATTTCAAATGCCACTTAATTTTTCAATTCGGCACAGAGTGCCAAAATGGCATTTTTGAAAAATAAGAACTTTTTAAATAAATTTTTGGGGAAACCTTTTCGTGTACTTCTTTTTTCAACTCAAGTGTTCTAATTTCTAAAGGGTATTCAACTGGCTTATCTTTTTTTATCATTGCACTTTTATTTTGAACCAAATTTTGTTCCTATTTTATTCCTAAGTAGGAAGGATTAAAAAGAATTACACCTTTTCTGACACTTTTATTTTTCTATTTGGCACATTTTGGCACTTTTTTATCCTCAATATGGCACCTCATAGATAGGGATAGTTGGCAGCCCTGGTGGGGGGTTAGCATCACAGAAGGTACATGTACGCTAGGAATGTTAATCCCGGCATCCCGGGGTCTCGGCCTTTTTAGGTCCCAAAAATCCCGGGATTCTTGGCAAATAATCCCAGGATTCTCGGGATTTGTAATTTGCACTGATGGTAATAAATTTTCTTGACCAGCATTGGCTATATTTCTTTTTTATACCCGAGCACACTTGTGCACAAGGGTATTATAACTTTGTTCACATAACGGTTGTTTGTAACAGGCGAAACGAATCGAGATAGATATAGACAAATGTATACATAAATGATCAGAATGAAAAGAGAAATCGATTAAGCGGTGAATGTCTGTCCGTCTAAGATATCTTAACGAAACTTTGTACGTGCACTTCTTTCGGGCGTAGGACGGATGGTATTGAAAATGAGCAAAATTGGACAATAACCACGCCTACCTTCCATATAACGGTAATTCTCAGAAATACGAAAACTGCAATATTATAGTAACTAAATACTGAAGATTATTCACTCAAAATTGATATTTAAAATTATTTTTAGAAGAAAAATAAGAATATTATAAATTTTTGGAAAATGGGCGTAGCCACGCCCACTTATGGTTACATGTGTACATCTTGGTAACTGCTGCACCAATTTCTTCCAAACTTGGCACAGTTGTTGGCCTAGGTACAGCATACCAAATGGACAATAACCACGCCAAGAAATACGTTTATGATAATATTTTGGAAAATGGGCGTGGCACCGCCCACTTATCTCGGTAGCCCCNCAATTTCTTCCAAACTTGGCACAGTTGTTGGCCTAGGTACAGCATACCAAATGGACAATAACCACGCCAAGAAATACGTTTATGATAATATTTTGGAAAATGGGCGTGGCACCGCCCACTTATCTCGGTAGCCCCTCTACCAATTTGTACCATACTCGGTATGGTTATTGTGCTTGCCACATAAAAGCAAAACGTTGAAAATTGTTGAAATCGAACTGAAATTATGGCCGCTTTTCATATAACGGTAAATTTCAGAAAGGCTTGAAACTTCAAAATTTCGAAATTTACGGACGCTAATTTCGGAAAGGTGAAAAACATATATTTAATACTTGAGCCGGGTATTTAATGTTCGGCTCCGCCCGAACTTAGACTTTCTTACTTGTTTATTTAATAATTAATATTTTTTTATAAATGTCTAGCTCACTATATATATAACACCGTGCGATAGTAAATTTTACACACAAATATCAATGTATTCGCGAAACCATGGGCCAAATATATGTAGTAAAATTGCGGATTTAGTTCTGACGTTAGTAATTCAAAAATTATTTAAAAAATTCAGTGAACTGTGCTTAGAGAAGAAGTATGGGTATCAAACTAAAGAGGAAATCCTGTAGAATTTAAACAGATTAAAGTTTTTGGTGCGGAGGGACTGGTAAGTATTGAAAATGTCCTTTTAAAATTTTATCCTTGAAATTTCGCAATATTTGTTTTTGAAAAACTTATATGTTTTGAAAGACTTATGTAACCTCGATAACATCCCCGAATTTTGTCCTTCTAACTTTATCAGCTTAAAAAATTACCTATTCGTCCTTGTGAATCCAACAAATTTTATTTTTTTAAATTCTAGAGAAGTTTCCTCTTGCATTTGGTACCCATATTTTTATTCTACAGTGCATTGAATTTTTTAAATAATTTTTGGAATTAATCATATCTTTGAAATTACAAAGTCCTTCAAAATAAATCCTGCGATCAGAGAGAACAAATAAAAACGCTACTTTAAATAAAAAAGTTGGTTTCAAACCGATTTATTTATTATTTATTTTATGGTAGGACAGCTTCTTAAACAATATAGAAGCAATTCTTTCGATTTAAGTTGTTGGAAAGTAATGAATGTCTAAATCCCGGGACTAATACCGGGATTGTGATAACGAAATATGCATGTACATATGAATGTATGCAAATGATTTGTATGCATATGTATACATACATGCATACATTAAAATGCAAAGGGATTTCCCGAATAGAACTATGTAAATATTTACTTATAAGCTTATATTTTATAGTATTTCTCCATAAATATCATCTCTTGCAGCCGCGAGCGTTATAAAAATACATATTTCATTCCTCTAAATTGTTAAAAGCTTTATGGAGCCAATGAAAATATCTGGTAACAGATGCCCAAAGTACACTTTATTGTATATAGGAGGCATTTCTACACGATCTTTAGTCGTCTATGGCGCAGGGCGAGAGCAGCAGAAATGCCATATAAAACAAAAGCAAATGACACTAGAACCAAAGGAATCTAGCGGTGAAGAGCTGGTGGCCGAAGATTGGAATCTGTGGATAATCTACACTTACAAGATAAGCCTACTTAAAATTTTATGTATTGTTCTGCCGTTGAAATTGGCGAATGAATATTTTTTTTTATCTGGTACTGGCTTTAGGAGTTTTCGAGTGAACTATACGTCGCAAGATCTATCGCTCGGTTCGTGTAGGTGATGGATATCGAAGAACTGCAAACGCTTTTTAATAACATAGATATATATGTATTTAATAAAATTCTTAAAAATAACACGATTGCGTTGGTTTTAACATGTCGTATGTATGGATGACTCTACCGATAATAAGAACCATAGCTCTCTATGGCACAGAACTCGACATTGTTTGAAATGAGATATTTGAGCATAGAGCAGGCAGCCAATCGATAGAAAAATTGTGCCAGAGAAAATTGTGGAAAAGCAAAAGTGGTAGATATCATCTCGGAATATGGAATAAGCAACTTCAAAATTTCCCTCCATAACTATTTCTCTTCTATTTAGTGGATGAACCATATAAATATTTAAGTTTTTACCTAGTCCATAATTATTAGTTTGTACATCTTATTCATATTACCTTTAAATCTGTTTAGTTACATATATTGCTGTTGTACTTAAAAAGACTAAGGGCCGATTGTTCAATGTCTGATTAGCACAAATCGGAGGTAGAAGCTCCGGTTAGATACAACGACTGCTTTATCGATCACATGTTATATGCATGCTGGCGAAATCGTCGATAATGATGTTTAACCGGCAAGTAGTGATAACCAGACATTGATCAACCGGCCCTAAGTCTGTACTAATTTTATATAATGAACAAAAAATGAATAAATGGAATCCGTCAGGGCTAAGGAATAAAGCAAGCTGCGCCATTATAAGGCGGTACACAGACGATTCAAAAACGCCCGAGGGAATCGGAACGGTAATCTCAGCTGACATATGTGGACTCCCAAGTATATTTCAAGCATAGGCGGCATCAACAAATCGGAGAGTCTCCAAGCCCTTCTTTGCAGTAGGATCACACACCATCAGACAAAAGCTTAGGAGAGAAATGAGATCAAGTAGAGAACAGCGCTGGAATGAAATCATTGAGCTGCGACAGGCATT